CTGCGACGCTTTGGCATCCGTATATCTGTCAGAATCCGAACTCAGCAACTTCTCCCATCAGCTTCTCCATTGTCTCGCACTCATACCATCCGTTCCGGATCGCTGATTCTTGTGCCTCTAGGGATCGGCCCTAAGGGGGGGATACTGTCATATACCATATATCCGGTTACAGATCCGATGATCTGGATCTCAGATCCGATCCAGATCCGATGAACATATCCGTCGTCCGGTCCACAGATCCGCTTTGATTCTTATTTCATTTCCTGTTCATATAACTCTAACTATCGTTCATCTCCTTTCGGTATTCCTGTACACCGGTATACCGGTTATCCTTTACTTCCGCTTTGCTTACTGATCCGCTACACTTACGAATCCGCTTTTACTTGTACTTCATTCCGGTTCATGATTCGTGATCCATCCAACTTACCAATACGCTCCACTTAGACTTTGCTTATTGATCATTCCGTTAGCTATCCGTAGTATATAAACCTTTGTATATGCGCTGTAGTAGATCAGTTCGAATATCATCTTAGATTGCACTCATTCCGTCCGGACTCTGAGTCCCTCCGTTATCCATCCGGACTTGAGTACGCTACTCTTGTCAACTCCGAGACTTAGGATAGATTCCTATAGTCTACATATCCGCCTCTGTCTTCGGACAGTCCTCACCCGTTAGTTTCTAGTCCGGATCCGATCCGGATTGGCCGTTACTCTATATACGCGATACTTTAGCTCTCTGAAATAAGGGGCAAGACTCGGGAAAGGGGCACAGCGCACGAGCTGAGGCCGAAGCCCTTCGGATCCGATACTACTTGAGTACGGTCTTAACAATGGTCCGGTTCTCGGTTCTCTGAATTTCCTAGAGAACTGGACCGAACCGGACTTTTCCATCACTACTTGCCGCGCTATTGCCTTCATGTTTCCATTTTTTGGATGTGCTTACCATTTGGTCATCAAGGGCTGCCTTTGCCTTGTCCGTGAGCTTCATAACACGCTTCGCGGTCCTCGAAAAGAAGTTTGGCTGCATACTGTGATGTTTGGGAGTGGATTATAGGTAGTTTTGTATTTAGGTTTAGACTTTAAGGTTTGAATTTGAGCTGTACCTTTGGAGTTACAAAATCATAGTTTTTTGATGACAAACCCACCCCATGGGTATGGGTAAGGGTGTGGGTATCACAACCCCATACCCCTACCCATACCCATGCAGTTCCCTATATGTATTTAGTGTTCCACAGTGGTGGTTATGCAACTGAAAATTTCAAGAGACAGAGCAGACAATCTGAGTTGCATAAGGACAAACCGTAAGGACAAATGGCAATCATACATCACCGACAATAACCACAAGCTTCCCTCCCATTACTCGAACGTAGAAAGTAGGATTGCGTGGATGTATGGGTGTTCCTGAATTATTCGAACGTAGAAAGTAGGATTGCATGGATGTGCAGGTGTTCCTGATGTCAGCCATTCGAAACATAGAAAATACGACTGCATGGACGGGATGTGCCAATTATTTGAATGTAGAAAGTAGGATTGCATGGATGTATGGGTGTTCCTGATTATTTGAACGTAGAAAGTAGGATTGCATGGATGTATGGATGTCCCTGATTTCAGCCATTCGAACGTAGAAATTAGGATTGCGTGGACGTACAGGCATTCCTTGGGGATGATGAAGCATCTTGTAAAGGACCAGGAAGTGAGCCGTCAGTGAAATTCACCGAGAAACCCTACAATATTTCACTGAAGCTTAAATTAGTACAGAATCACGGCAACATAACTCACTTATTACTGCACCCAAGCGCATCTTCTCGCGATACACAAGACTCCTGAGATGTTTATTCGAGTCAATACTGGTAGGTGGCGAGGAGAAATAGTCACAGACTCAAGTACTCACCATCAACCCCTTCGCGAGACCTCCGATTTCCGAGAGAGCGACCCCTTCGCAGCTTTCCCGCGCGCCTGCGGCGCATGACCCCTTCGCATGACCATATTTTCTCCACCAGACCGCTACCTTAACAGTATGAAGACTCTTACACACCCACCGATGGTTTGGAGTCTGGGAAAATGCACTTTTCTGCGCAGTAACTCTCCGCCGGACTCAACACATTGATTTTTGACAAAAAAAATAGCAGAGGTTGTACTTTTGATGTCAGGCTATCGAACTGTCAGCAAATGAAATTTTTATGTTTGCGCGTTGTGGAGCAATAGACATTACCCCCAAAATGCGAAGTCTAGTAAGCATCTAGCTTGAAAAACCGCAATGTGCCCGTCTCAGGTTGCCATCAGTGAACCGATAATATTCTCATAAGTCTAAGTACTCGTTCATGCTAATTACACCAGCGAATCAGTTGTCTAAAAATGATGAGAAAACATAAGGAACACCCCAACAGAAAACACCCAAGCTCAAGGTCACTGGAGTGTGCGCATCAATGTGATTGTTGACGGCGCCACCATGAATCCAGCCCAAGACGAAGTGCATGCTCAGATGGCTAGAGACGCAAGATTGAAGTAATGATCAACGACCAATCCTGCACAAACCAACGCTGCACCATGGCGGCCTGCCTGTAGTACAAATGATATCAGAACCAGCTCGTGGTTATATCAGTATAACGTACTGTAAATTTCTCCCAGCTATCTTTAGGATCGTTGTGATCAAATGACCATATGTGCCAGAGACAGAGGAAGAAGGGCGCAAAGACGCTCATCACGTAGAACGGGAGGTGCTGGTCATTCAAGTACCCAGCCCACAGAAGACACGCAAAGAATATCACATCAAATACGCTCAATGCCAAACGAATGCCATCGCCCAGACGGACCGCCATGGACTTGACTCCGGCCTTCTCGTCGTCTTTCTTGTCCTGAGATGATATCATTAACACCCACGTTTCAATGCAAATCAAATGGGCTAGTCACCTGGCACGCGTAGATAGTGTCGTAAAGACACGTCCAGCTAGGGAAGCACCGTCAGCCCATCGAAGCAAAACACCTTGCTGGCACTTACCAGCACGACGCAACTGCGACGTTCAGGATCATGCCCCAATCGAACTCACCCGTAATTGCCACCCACGTGTATGGGACGGCCCAGCTAGCAGCAAAACCTTGGAACTGGATAAGACGATAAACAAGTTTTAATTTCAAAAAAGCCGTACCGAGGTACAAAGACGGCCAATACATCCAACGCTTCATCAGTGGGTATGTCCCGCCACAAGCAGGGAGTCCAACAAGACCCAGTGTGAAACTAGAATTGCATGTCAGGGGAGTCATAATACTTGTTGAATGATCTACTTACGCCGTAGTGCCAGCGGTCGAAAACATGTAAAAGATGGCAGCAACGAGCACGAACAGAAGAATCGAGGCCTCTGTCATAGTGACAGCTCCCGACGCGATCGGTCGGCCTTTCGAACGTTCTGATTGAACAGCGTCAGAAGATGAGTGACAGTCAAGACGGGACTGACATACCAACTTTGCGATCGAAGTCGCGATCAAGCATATCATTTATGACACAGCCTGCACTATGTACCAGTGTGCCCAACAATGCATAGAACAAAGTATTTATGGCAACTTCTTTCATGGGTAATGCCACATGGTATGACGCTGCCAGGGAGCCCCATGCTAGGTACGACGAATTAAAATTTAAACCAACCAACAAGTAACGTCCCGCATGCATCTTATGACTCACCGAAGGGCCAGAACATGAAGTCACATCCCACTGGAAACCAGTGAATCCTGGTGAGCTCAGCCAATGACCTTGCCTTGGAGGGCATGGTGACTTGAAGTGTGCAAGGAGGGAAAAAAGTGAAACGGAGGGCCAGGTACACCAGCCGTGTTCATTTTATGTGCCTCCGCTTGGAACGACATCTTCGAATATGCTGTAACTTCAGGAGAGCTTCCTGACAGATATTCCAAATGCATCCAACTTGCGGTTGACCTGAATCGGATCCCTAACGGGCACCATTGAATCGCCTTCATGTTCGCTTCGCATGCGATGTTGATAAGAACTATAAAAGTATAGTGTGAGCGTAAGTCGGCTCTTACGGAGTCTGGGCCTATAAGTCGCAAATGTGAGCGTATAACGTTCCGCAAGGCAACTTTAACTGATATTGCACGGGTGATACGTCATACGCTTGTACCAACCAGCCACTCAACCCGCATGAAGTCCCCGCTGGAGGGAAATGGCTCATTTCAACTGATTGGACCAAAATTTGCCTTGCTTGCTTCCTGCAAATGGGACGATTTTCGATATCATCGATAAGGGGTCTAAAGAGTGCTTGCGTCAAGATAAGATTTTCGGGACACAGGAAACATACATATTCGGGTTACGAAGGGTGTACGACAGTCCTGGGATCACCTCGGCAGGGAAATGTAATTTGTGATTTAATGCGGATCTATTGATAGTAGATAGGTATACGAGTGGATGATAGTACGACCTGATGGATCAGAGAGGGTCGTCTGGATGCGGTGTTTTATGTACTGGATGCCGGGAGTGGCGTCTTTGATTTCGCATGGAGGCAAGCCGCAAATGAATTTTTTCCAACATGGAGAAATGGGCCTTGCGACTCGGAGGAGTTCACGGCATGACATGAACAACCACGCACTGCCCAAATTCCGTACGATCAAATCACTAATCTAGCCTGTCAAAGGACAATCGAACCACTGGCAGGAGGTGATTCACTGAGCGCTCCGCTATAGCGCTAGTACCGCGAAGCGCTGGTCGATCCTATTCCAGTCAAGAAATGCGGTGATTGTACAAGGCCGCGGCAGGAGCTTTACACCACACAGCTCATAATTAATGTTGATTAGGACTTCGCCGAAAGGCTATCGATGACCTATAATAACTCTAGTATGGGAACAATGAAATCCGGCGGCGCAGATTACGTAAACCTACGTCACTATTTTTTCAGCCAATTAAAATCGTTTATTGTCTAGCAGTCCCCAATTGAAATGGGATTCAATTGATTTCTGAGTAACCGAGCAGGTGAAAACTTTGCAAATGGACGGTAAAGACTATCTAATAGGGATGCCCCGTTTCTAAAATGTCGTCGTTTGGGACATGCACAGCACAACGTGTACTCGTGTCCGTAGTACGGCACGCAGCGCCAACACTTGCAAATTATCTAAACCTCGTGATATAGTAGCAATATATTGATCAATTCCGATTCCGTGAGAGGTGCTTGATATATTCATCTACATAGTACTGGATATACTTCATGGAAAGGGTTCAGAAAAGGTTTAGGAATGTTAAAGACTAGCTGAGGGGTTAGGGACATGAATCACGAGGTTTAGGAGCACTGAGGGTTGGGTTTTAAGACAGCAAGTGTTCCAAAGGCGCTGCACGCCGTAACACGTAAGGTTTAGGCACGAGTCCCATGTAAAACAGGTTTAGCAGCGATGCTCGCTGGAGGGTCCCACGCCGACGACGGCATTTTAGAGTTGCATCCCACAATTGAATGATCGGATAAAATATTATACATATTGACCCTATTATCATTCAGATCTTTCTCGGTTCCTTCGAACGCCTTCAAACCTCGAGCAAACAAAGTTCGGACGCCCTGAGACGTGTTATTCACAATGAATAGACTCTACTGAGTCAACATAAGCTTTGCTTCAAGCTACAGTCTTGCATATGAAACTGCAGTACTTGAAGTTTTTGAAAATTCTTCGGACTTTTGCATCTTACATAATGCGGTTAAGCGCACTGCAGTCTGCATTCATATGCAACACACTGTAATGTTGCAGCCATCACCGAGCAGTATAATCCGAGTCCTCAATATTCAATTGTATTATATCCCCACTGCCCGTACGCTGGCTCCCCCCTCCCCCGCTGGTGACCCTTCGAGTTTTCTTCGTTAACGTCTCTCCTGTGTTGCTTGACATGGTACTTCCTCTTGCTGGTATGGCAGTTAAGCTTCGTCCGGGTATTGTATAATTTGTGTCCTAGCGTGTAGCACATTAAGGAATACAATAATATGGCGGATAGCCTTATGAAGGGCACATATTGCACAACCGCGAAGCCTGCTCGTGACGGACGACCACGAGGGCAGAGAAAATTACAGAGTTTGATGTGGTGAAATGTATACGCGATAAAATGGAGGAGTTATACTAGAAGAAGGGGATACTCTGGACAAGCAAAAAGATGAGTAATAAAGAGCATGTAACCACGCACTCCTCTGATATCTGGTCGAATTAACAAGTGTGTAGGATGGCACTGGCGTGAATGGTATGGTTATTTGGGGCGCAGGTTGCTGCAGTGCATCACGATGCGTGGCATAATGTTGAGAATCGCAGTGCTGATATCTGTTGCCTGCAGGTTGTGCCTCTGAATTTTGAGTGACATGGCGGGGCATCGATAGGGCTAAATCCATGTTAAAAATTGAATGGCGTGAATAAAATGCATACCTTGACGAGTGATACTGATGCACGGCAGTAGGTACTATGAGTGGAATCACGATCACGAGTGCCAATGTCCAATGACGCGTGAAAATCGATGCCCTGTATGGTTCAGTCATTAAAAGCTCGTCCTCTCATGATGCCACCTAGAAGTGTCAAGTTCACGCCATCACGGTTGACATTGCAGTGAGCCTGTTCATTGCCGTTCGTGGTGGCCTGATATGCACGCCATATATCTTCAGTTAAAGCTTGCAGACTAGTATAGGGTCAGGGTTGCTGGAGTAAAGCGGAAGAGGTCAACGGATGCTTTGCATCGAGCGCGTTGCGGTCCCACATCCTAACCTGCTGGAGAGTTGAATCAATTCAAGTGAGGCTGGTCCGAATATCGATAGGGTACGTGCGATACCCGGCTGATGGAAACTCACTGTTGAACGTTCCATCCTATCTTCCATCCGAATACACCTTCCAACATTATGGAGTTCTCATAACTTCTGATTCTCCAATGAGCTAAATTGACTCATTGCAAATTTTCAAACTCCGTCGGGCTTCGCCTGCCAAATCTCCGGCTCCTATCTCTCGACTTCAAACTTGCCTGGTCCCGAGCCTATTCGTGCTTCACTTATGTACTGTACTGTAAGTAGACGAGTATAGAGCAACAATACCTGTGTTGCGAGCACCCGATCGACTGTTTGATGAGCCTCTGGGTATATGTCGATGGTTTCCGTGATGGCGATCACCGGTAGTCAGCATGTACTACCCTAAGTATTAATATTGTAATGACGATGACTTACAAAAATAGCTAGCACGAACTGCCACTCCAATGACAATAAAAGCGGCTGTAAGGTTTTATTATGTAAAGACTTCAAATAGAGCCTGGAAACCAGTGGGGATTAATATCTCTCCGGTCATTGTTTGTGATTCTGAGTGAAATTCCATTCTTTACGAGAGCAAGCGATATTGAGGCACTATCTTTTTACTCGTTCATTGACGCAAATATTTAAACAGAGTGCATCTTGTTCATTTTTCATGCAGTATACAGTTAACCGTGCACAAAGGGATCAGTTTTGAGATTTAGAACTGTTTTGACAAAGTCAGTCCTTAGCCTAAGGACTAACCCTAGCATCCATTGAATGTAATCCACGGAATGCGGTGGCTTTCGAGGTTGTCGAGTGATTGGACTTTGACGAATCGATGGAGGGCTATGATGCGTGCTCTTGCATTTCTAACCAATTCCTTTTCGATAGATATCATGTATATTGCATGTACATATGCAATTGACCTTCAAAGCTTCAGATCCAGAGAAATTAAAATTTATCATTGTAATTCGTCAACGAGGTGAGACGGACAGCGCGACCGAGGGGGGTGCCTGAGCGCTTGAGCATCCGTGTAACGAGAGCAATTGGCGAATCCTAGGCTTGAGCAGGCACAAGAGGCATAAATAGCAGATCAAGGATGAGTTATAGAACAACTTAAGGTCGAGCACCTTTAAATGGAGCTTCCAGACTCTTCATTAATGTCATTCCTAAGCCTGCGACGGGTTCGGATTTCTCTTTTTTCTTCTTTTTGCCACTCCAATCAAAGGCTTTAGAAGGGGCTGAGGAAACGATGTCGGATGGAGGCGTTCATGAATCTAGAGCCATGACTACTGTCTTACATAGAGGGCACGCAAATAGATCGCAAATGCGCAGCCGGTGGACACAATTGACACCGAGCCGCAGATGTTAGATGGAATATTCACTGGACACTCCTTAGAGCTGCAAAGACAGTGCTTTTGTGCTTCTCACACTGTAGTATGGAAACGATGAGAACGATACGGAACGTGCGTGTGATGAGGAACCTACTGATAATGATCCACTGATCACGGTGATGGATGATTATAGACGAACTTGAAAGCGTGAGACTCCTTAGTTGGAGGGAAGGGAAGCCCTTTAGACCTGCACAAGTACTATCTTGAGCTCATCATCAAAAGAGAAGCCAGCCAGCCACACGCTGGTACTTGGCCAGGCCGATTGATCAACCTAAGCGTCATTGAAGATTTCAGTCTTTGACAGCTTGAACGTGTCCGACATGTCGACAGTCCAGTCAACGGTGCCTGCGTATATGTACTTACATACAAAAGATGAAATGGACTTCGGAGAAGTCGTCGAGCGTCTTCAACAACGAGCAGGACTTGTTGTCAGACTTTCAAATTTGAGTACACATGAAAGCGTAGGAAGAGAGCAGTGCCAGCCTGGCACTGGCCGATCCTGAGAAACTGGCGTTGCCAGAAATCCCGTTGCTTGTTTGAGTCCGTTACTTCTTTCTCACTCCTCGTCGTAGTCAAGCAGCACGAGCTCTCAAAATTTCGATTGCGCGCCGTCGTCCACTTCAACGTCCACGGGGACACACAACATCGACGTTGTTTTAACGTGAACTCCACCACGACGACCTCCAAATAATTATACTGGATCTCACACTCATTTTTTAAAGCTTCTCTTTGACCGAGCAACACAACACATTACCGTTACCAGCAGTCTGCAAAAACCGGAATCGTCGGCTCTCGATGCCCAGTATATTCTCGCGGGCCCGCACTACTTCGACACCTGGCAAGAAGCGCTCGAGTGGCAATCAAGACGCACCTTATGACGAGTTTGGGCGCGTAAATAGTAGGAGTTCCGCCAAAGATGTCACTAGTGGCAGGAGTACTCCTGCTAGTACGCCCGTGAAACAAAAGCCACGGAACCGAACCCTCAGCACTCCCGAGACAGATCCATTCGCTCACATTCCTGATGGGTCTTTTCTCCCTTTGAATTTGGAACCCAAAGATATTGACCACGAGCAGCAAGAGCATGACTACGGATACTTGTCTTATCAGCGGCACGTTGTATTAGGTCTCGATGAAATCGCACGCCTCGTGGATGTCGTGGCCAGCGAACTAGGCACCAGAGCACTGACCACTCCCTTTATTTTTTCGACTTTGGCGCTTGATGTCTCGGCTAGCTCTGTTAGGAGGCTTGTCAGAGCATTTCTGGAAACGTGTACGGGCGGAATCGATGCGGAACATCGTTGGAGAGAGGAGGCCAGACTCGCAGGTCCGCACGAGCTTGGCATGTGCATACGGTGGGGACTTGCCAGAGTCGTCAGAGTCGTTGGTGGACAGGCAGTGAGAGGCCTCATTGCTTGGGACCATTATACAGAGTTCCGAGACTCCGAAGCAAGTGAGCGTCTTTTCTGTCCTTTTCCATTTCACCCTCATTCTTCACGTTTCTTGGCTTTACATTGCAATCACACTTTCACATCAAACGCCCACTTCATCCATTGGCGCCCACCTTATATGAAACGACCTTGCTAACTTTACTGCAGTACAGAACTATCCCCCGAAACACTTCTCCACTTTCCTCCCACCACTTTCCTCCACTCTGCGCTCGATCCTACTCACTCTGTTAAGCCTGCTCATTCGGTTCACAGCGCACAGCGCCAGCTCTGGACACACGCCTCCAACGCTCTCCCCACTGTTCGGTCCCTTGCTATTTGGCCTCGGCCCCGCCACTCTCGCATTCCACCACACATATATCCACTACCTTCGCGCCGTTAACGCCACCGAACATCTCCTTCTTTCCTTCATCCGTTGGCAATCTACATCTGACCTTGGTGTTCCTACCCGGCTCAAAGAATGGATCCGCTCCTATCCCTCCACCCTCCCCGCCTTGCACCACTCAGCCAAGCATGAGCGTCCACAAGCGCGCAGGGGTGCACGTACGGTGCGTGTCGTAAGCGTAAGGCGTAACGTACGGATGTATACCCCGGACCTAGTAAACACTGCTGCAAGTTGGGCACATCGGTCACATGGCCATGGCCTAGCGGGATCAAAGGAATGGGAAAGGATTTCCCCATCTTGGCTCAAACTGCCTCCGAGATACTCGGAAGCATACAAGAAGCGTATGGACCTACCGTCCCATGTGCAACCGTACACCGGCCCTGGTATCGTCCCAGCATCTGCAACCAACAGCACCTCGTCTTCTCTGACTGATGACAGGGATGCTGGGATGGGGCTGGGACTACGGGAAGGCGAGGAGAGGTTTAGGAGCCTTACGGATTTAAAGTGGGGCGAGTTTGAGATGATGGGATTCGGGACGGTTGCTGCGGATGAGAAGAAGTTACAATTTGATTTGACGGAAAGCGCACGCACGGTACGTGTAACATTCATGCTAGGTTTTCAGAAATGCTAACCGCCTCTTTGTTGACATATAGGCCCGTGCTGCAAAACGTGCTACTCTTACCTGGACCGATTTCTCTACAACTGGTTTCACACGCACAGACGCACCTTTAAGCGCTACCCTCCAATTTAGCACGCCTCTCACTCACACAATCTCCTCGTGGCCCTCGCACAATGCCGACATTACCAGAAAGCTCAAGAAGACCGCCAGGACCTTGCCTGCATTTGGTTGGGACACAGAGCCTGTCCTCGGCACGGAAGAAGTGGTGGAAGAGGCGTTTGTAGACGTGTTTTGCGATTTGGTTTGGGGAGGCGGTTGGCGGGAGGAAGTTTGCGGGATCCCGAGTGCAGAGGAACCTGCAACGGAGGTCGAGAGGGAGTGTAACTGGGCATTGGTGGGTGCCTTTCCTTCTTTATCTTATCTTTCCCTTCTCTTCTTCTAACCTAGCGCTTAGATTGAATTTAGGTCTCTTCCGATATCTGCATCTATATCCTCTCCCTTTCCCACGGCTAGTAGTGGCACTGACCCAAGAACAAGCACAACGCTCGTCTTGTTTGAGGAGTTTGTGCCTTTGGAATACCGCCAGCAGCTTGCTAAGGACAGCGGTGGGAAGCGAAAACTGCCGTTTCCGTTCATGTCCCCTAATAGTGAGTAGTCGTTTCCTTGTCGATGTTCTTTTCTTCCCCTTGATAATTTCCTGCCCTACGCTCTCTTTTATTCCACCCGGATACCCCTTCCCAATCACAACTAATCGTCTTCCATAACCAGGCAAATCTCGCCCATGGAAACCCGCTGCTACACTTAATGGACGCCCCTACGTTGTTGGGCACGTACCTAAGAGTCCGTCATATCGCGAAGTCGAATTTGAGGGACTGCTGAGATCAAACGGGAGCAAGGTTCTTTCACTAGACAAGCCCAGCGGCAGCGGGGGTCCGATATTGTCCGGCACGGCAGGGGCCCTTTCTCCCATAGCTTCAGACGAACGACCCTCCACCCCACGCCCAGCTCCTCCCGCTCGACCGACTGTGACTATCTCTGCACCGCTCTATTCCCGGCCAAAAGACAACGACAAGCCGCCAATGCTGCCCGCAAAAGACAAGGACAGAAACTCAAAGTTTGAGCGCAAAGCCTCCGATTCGCCCATCTCCCCGACATCTGCACGTAAGCTTGCTTCGCGCTTTCGCGTCCACCCCAGTTTTCGCCGCTCAGGGGTCGTCCCTACTGAATACACGGAGGACATAGTGGATTTTGAAACGAGGCTGGCGAGCTACTCAGATGATGAGCTGAATAACATGACATCTTCATCTGCAGGAGGGAGGGACAGAGAGGAAAGAAGGCGCTCGAAGGACGATGCGTGGGTGGATATCCTGGTCGCGACACACGGCCGGCGGATGGGTGGGCAGGATGTAAATATTCGCCCGTTCAGCGCGCGCGGGAAGGGCATGCAAGACCCGGAGATCGCGAGTCACGAAGTAGCACAAGTGCTTGCGGGCGTGGCGCTGGCACAGCTGCCATCAAGCGACGATGAGCCTGAGCCGATACCTGAGCCCACCGTGGAGCCAAGTGTAATAAGCGACGATGCGGATGTGGACAGTGTAATGTCGTATCCAAAGACGGTGACCTCTAGTGTGCCGAAACGCTTGGGGTACTTTGATCTACATCCAGAACGCCGGCCTGGACCTTCGCCGAGGCCAATGAGCTTTGGTGAGGACTCAGATGGAGATGAGGTGCGCTATGGAACACCCGAGAGAGCCTCGCCGTTGAAGTTTCCCATGCCTGCGAACACCGATACAAGTCCTTACCCCGAGCCCCTGCGAGGCTCGATGGACACTGAAGTAAGTGAATATGCAGCAACTTCCACGCATTCCCTGGAGCTCGACGCGCCGGATTTGGTGTATGAAGACCACCGCGCAGTCAAGGACACAGAGGGCAGTTACTCGGGGACGGGAATTATGACTATGCCGCAGCTTATAGCTGTGGCACCCGTAACGTCGGAGAAGGGAGAAAAGGACAAGGAAAAGAGCCGGACGGCTGCGCTGATCGAGATGTACCGCGAGCGCGAGAAGACGTCGTCCACGACTAGTCCCGTGCCGATCTCAAAGCTCCCCGTGCGTTCGGCATTATTGCATCCTCAAGTGAAGGAGTCGCCGTTACCCGCCCGTGCCCGTGGTTGAGCTAGAGCCTGTTGTAGTGACCCCCGCAGAGGATGTTATTGAAGAGCCTGTGCGCACGGAAGGCTCGCAGGGTGAGGAACTTCTGCAGCCTGTGGGTTTGTTGTATGAGGGGAACGGGCGGGATAGTCCTGCCAGGTATGTGCATGGTGCACCGTTGCATAATGTGATGGAGGAGGAAGAGGAGGACTGAGTGGTTGTAGCCTTCACCTCCTTGATCACCCATCCAGACCTTTCTTCCCTTCGCCATCACCATCGTTGATCCAAAAGCCAATCTACCGAGGAATGCACGATGCAACTCGTCTTTCTATCAAGTGTACCTGAACGAACACCAACGTGTATATGAACCATCCATACCGGTCATCATCCCCAACACCACTGACATCCTATTCTAAATATAACCGCTGTTCCCTAGATTTCATTCGATACCAAATCTCCCCGAAGCATTGCAAAGAAGGCACGTTTCGTCAAATCTGGCCGATACCTTGAAACTGGACGGCTGAACTCTGGATTATCTATCTATTCAACAGCATACATACATACCGTTCTTTTAAAATTGTTCCCCACAATCCTGACCTTTTACTAGCGCATGCTAATATTCCCGAGTTTGTCTTTATAGTCGTAGCTCTGCCCCTCTCCCTATGTTGTCCCCCTCGTTTATCCTGTTTTATAGTGGAATTTATTTGATTTATGATGCTTGCTCAGTGGATGGAGTGAATGCGGGCCACGGCCTTCCGGAATCCGGATCCGCGAAGTGGCAATTCACCTGACCTTGGTCATTAGATTAAGACTGGCGTCTACCGCTATGGTTTTCAAAGGATCATCCCCACCCACTAGCTATAGCAGTGTTTATCTTGCGTTCTACGAGCATGATTGAGATTCCTGATAAATCCATTCGCATCTGTGCAGACAGAGGAGGGACGTTTTGTGATGTTCATGCGTAAGGCCAATCCAAGTTCTCAATTGCCTTCGAAGCTAAGATGGAACAGATCGTATCCTGACCCAGCAAATCCAAACGAGCGGAAAGACATCGTTGTCAAGCTCCGTGCGTGTCCTCAGGTGCATATTCTCTAACTGCTCAACTGTCCTGCAGTGTCACAGGACACAGCCAACTACGGCGATGCACCAACGGAGGGTATTCGCAGGGTGCTTGAGATCGTGACTGGAGAGACGATTCCCCGTGGGTCTGTGCTTGACACCAGCAAGATTGGTCCGTGCTACTCCTCCTGACACGTTCTTATCCTAATAACTTGAATATCCTGCGTACAGATTACATTCGTTTGTCGACGACAGTGGCGACAAATGCGCTGCTGGAGCGCAAGGGACATCGTCATGCGTTACTCATTACAAAGGGATTCAAGGACCTCCTGCTCATCGGGAATCAGTCACGCCCACGCATCTTTGACTTGAACATTCGTCGTCCAAACCCTTTGTACTCTGAGGTCGTTGAAGTGGACGAGCGTGTAACTCTTGTTGGGTACACATCGGATCCCAAGTCAGAGGAGAACGCTATTCAGTGGAGTGATGATGGGTCGTCCATTCAAAGAGGCTATAGGGGTCCGGGATGGGATGGGGAGGGTGATGCTGAAGGTCCGGGAGATATTGTTCGAGGGATCTCAGGGGAAGCAGTGAGAATTTTGAAGAGACCAGGTGCGCGTCTTACAGTGTTTATAGCAATATGTCTGTTGATGATGATTTCTTAGACCTGGACCTTGTGAGGCGCGACCTACAGCGATTATACGACGCTGGATATCGCTCCCTCGCGATCGTCCTTGTTCATTCTTACACCCTCCCCGAGCATGAAATACAGATCGGCAAGCTTGCACGGGAAATTGGGTTCGCCCAGGTCTCGGAATCCTCGCAGTTGCTGCCTATGATCAAGATGGTTCCTCGCGGTGTATCGTCCACAGCGGACGCATATCTCACACCTATCTTGCGAGAGTATCTAGATGGGTTCTTTTACGGTTTTGACGCAAAGTTGAAGGACGGACGGATAAAGAGTCCCCGTGTGGAGTTCATGGGTAGCGATGGGGGACTTTTAGACCTTAATAACTTCTCGGGTTTGAAGAGTATTCTAAGTGGTCCGGCAGGAGGCGTCGTGGGGTATGCATTGACGAGCTGGGATGCAGACAGGAAATACCCTATCATTGGGTATATACTATGCTCTATTCAGTATTTTCAGCCTGACTTACGCTCTTGCTCTGCAGCCTTGATGTAGGTGGGACATCGACTGATGTATCTCGCTTTGACGGCCGCTACGAAGTGGTTTACGAGACGACGACCGCCGGCGTCACTATTCAGTCTCCACAGTTGGACATTAACACTGTCGCAGCTGGTGGAGGTTCTTGCTTGACCTTCCGAAATGGCCTGTTTCTCGCAGGACCCGAAAGCGCTGGTGCACAACCAGGTCCTGCCTGCTACAGGTATGTGTAGACTGAAGATAGGAGAATTTAAATGAACCTTCGCCCAGGAAAGGCGGTCCGCTAGCGGTTACAGATGCCAACTTGCTCCTAGGCCGCCTCATCCCAGACTATTTCCCGAAAATATTTGGAAAATCAGAGAAGGAACCTCTGGACTCGGAAGCATCACGTGTGGCCTTTGAGAAGGTCGCGAAAGAGATCAACGAAAGTCATGAAATAAACCTTGGCTTGGATGACATTGTATATGGGTTAGTGCAACATAGTTATTCATGGTGATATACACTCACTCGAGGTTAGCTTCATCAAAGTTGCCAACGAGACAATGTGTAGACCCATTCGTGCACTAACGGAGGCACGGGGATATTCAACAGGAAAACATGTGTACGTATGGTCTCTATCCCTCACCTCTGTCACCCTGATATACTTGTTCTCAGACTCGCAAGCTTTGGTGGTGCAGGTGGTCAACACGCCTGCGAGATTGCAAGTTTGCTTGGCATAAAGACCATTCTCATCCATCGATACAGCTCCATTTTGTCTGCATATGGACTAGCATTAGCAGACCGGCAAGTGTTTATCCCGCAGTGCCTTTGATTTCTTTCCTGAACTGAGGTCAACAGCGCATACGAGCTCCAAGAGCCCTCATCAACGTTCTACTCTGCGCAGACGCGCCGGTACCTCACTGCCCGCCTTGATAAACTTACCAGCGACGTCAAGGCCGAGCTCAAACGCCAGGGATTTGAAGGCGATCGCGTGAGGGTCGAGAGGATGTTGAACATGCGGTTCGAGGGTACTGACACTGCGCTCATGGTTCTCCCTAACGAGAATGACGGTGACGGTACCGAGGACTTTGAGGCGGCGTTCAGGCGTGTGTACAAGGCAGAGTTTGGCTTCCTGCTTGATACCAAAAGCATCATCGTGGATGACGTGAAGGTAAGTGCCATCTCAAGTGACTCCAAGGTACCGGTTGAACATGTCCCCAGGTTCGTGGCATCGGAAAGACCTTTGACCACCTCGGGGAGTCCGTCTACTCGGAGGTGGATCGGCTTGAGAAGAATCCTGTCTTACGCAGTCGAGCAGATTCGACATATAGCGTGTACTTCGATAAAGTCGGCCGAGTGGCTGATACGCCTGTGTTCCTCCTGGATAACCTAGTTGTGGGCGATGAAGTGACGGGCCCTGCGATGATCATCGATAATACGCAGACTATAGTCATCGTGCCGGGTGCACGTGCTGTGCTCACTAGCAAACACTTGTATATCACACTCGGAGGATGAGCCACGACTGGGACAGGGTGGTCTATGACACAAGAGTCTGTAATTTGTACTTGTACAAGCCTCATTGCTTCATCATTTATCTGTTGCGACGTCGGATACTGACCTATCCAGAGGCGAAGAGAAACGGTAGTCAAGGGTCCCGGACTGCGGTCAGTAGGACGAATTAATGGCGATGCATAGGAATGTCACATGGTGCAGAATGATTTCCGTTGATCCTGCAGGTTCAACGTTCTGGCCTACTGGGGCAACACTTCTTGCGGTGCCCGGCACAGGCAAAATGAAATGCCCGGATAAGCTACAAACATGGTAATAACATACGAACCAGTGTGCAATACAAGGTTGCTGAAGTCATCAGCCTATTAGCCGGGTCGGAATGATCGGAATGAATCATATTGCTGCTATCCTCGTGTATTCCACTTACCTCCCGGCTGGCTTGACGCTCAAGTATGTGAATGCAACTGCCCGTAGGCAGTACACTATATAAGACTTTTGATCAAGCCTAGCTACAGGTTATTATGCGGCGGAACCGAGCAACTTCGCCCCATATATATAACTGTTTCCCCTTACATAAAGTTGCTCCTACCTGCGGTTCCTTGGTACGTACAGTCTTGCCATGGCTCTCCACGAAGCCGATGTCGGACTGGTCCACTTCCCCACTAGCCTGGCTACCACTCCAATTCTTCATTCAGAGCCAGACCAGGACACACTTGTTCCCTCATTCCTTGATAATTCGTCAGACATACCTCCCTCCGGAAAAAATGAACAATCCTTTGACTTCAAGCAGGTACTCAGAGACCTCATGAAACAGCAAGTGTTTTGTGGCGATTTTATTAGATTATCCAATTTAATATTTTCATTATCTCTCCTTCAGCCGTCAAGATGAAGGAATAAAGGATCGCCAACTTGGTGTCATGTTTAAGGATTTGCGTGTCGTTGGTGCGGGTTCGCGCACCTCGCTCCAGCCCACCGTGGGCTCGCCTTTCCATCCCTCAACGTTTCTGGCCAAGATAAGGGGAATTCGCAATCCCTCAATCAGAGATATCTTATCTGGATTCGAGGGTGTGGTCACCCCTGGCGAAATGCTTCGTAAGTACAGGCTTTTCCTCCACTTCCGGTCTTGACCTTCCATACAGTGGTCCTTGGCCGTCCCGGCGCAGGTTGCTCGACCTTACTCAAGACGCTCGCTAATCAACGTGGGGAGTATCATGCTGTTGAGGGTCAGATTTTCTATGATTCATTCACCTCAGAGGAGATACATGACTCCTTCCGTGGCGATGTCACTTACTGTCCGGAGGATGATATCCACTTCCCGACGCTGACCGTCGACCAGACGCTCTCTTTCGCTGTTAGAAACCGTACTCCAGCAACTCGTCTTCCCGGTCAGACGCGCCAGGACTATGTTGAGGATACCACCACGATGCTTATGAAAGTTCTTGGTCTCTTTCGTTCGAAACACACCCTGGTCGGTAATGCTCAGATTCAAGGTGTTTCCGGTGGCGAGAGAAAGCGAGTTTCTATCGCAGAAACTTTAGGCTCTGCAGGTTCCCTTGGTACATGGGATAAGTAAGGTGTTATCATCTAAGATGCCATGCTTCTAATTCGTTTCCCATTTAGTTCTACTCGTGGGCTAGACTCCTCAACTGCCCTTGAGTTTGTCCGCGCCTTACGGTGCATCACAGATATCAAACGCACAACGACAATTGTCTCCCTCTACCAGGCAGGCGAGCCATTATACAATCTGTTCGATAAGGTCTGTGTTATTGCGGAAGGGAAGATGGCCTACTTTGGTCCAGCAGAGTCGGCTAAAGATTATTTTATTGGTTTGGGCTTCGAACCACAAAACAGACAGACTACTCC